AGTTATTAGATTCTCCTCAAGTCTTTATAAGGGATCGTTCAAAATTTTCATTATTCAATTACAAATACCCAATTTATATTCGAGCTCTTCATAGCTTTAATAATCACTGATATGTTATATGTCTGCTTTGATCAGTAATCAGTGAAGACTTGCTTATTTTTCAAATTCAAACTATATACTTGTTCAAACTCTTGTACTCTTCGAAAATTTAGAACATTTCAAGTTATCTGTTCATTAGAGTCTTCTGGTCAGAATTGAGGTGTTCATCGTATATATACGCTAGCACTTGCGCTTATTCTGATATCATCCTAAGTAAGTTCTCGCTGCGATTGTCAAATGTTGAACTGAAACTAACAGATATCTATTAATGCCGAATATCGCACTCGCACAACAAATCACGAACACAACCAGTGCACCGCATATGATCAATAGCGTGTAGTCGCATTTCTCACCACGAAAACCGCACACGGGATCATCCAAAGGCATCGATCCGTCTGCTGATGGCCAAAATCCGGTCATAAGATCAGTGATGACCTGAACTTGATGAACATTTCAATTGGTTTATATGAATGAATAAGCGTGTCGGGCATACTACTAATTGTAAACGATACCGAATATACGTTTGATTCACTTCAAACAACTAACAATTTCATAACAACCACTCCTATTTATCAGTCCATCACAACCGTTCACGAACGTCGGTTCCATATTGACCATAGGAAGAGCTTGGTCACGAAGTGGTGATACGAAGAAGGCGCGATAGAGAGGTGCTCGATCGGCCCGATCATCCATCGTCACCTTTCCGGATGCGACGCCCGACGGCCCGAGCATCCCTGAAATATTCGACTGCTGGATTTCTGGAATCAAATTCATCGCATTAAATTTCTTTTGTGTCTTGTAGTTTTCCTGAACCAAATTTTCCGTTCTTTCTCAACATCTGAGTTGAGAAAATTTGTGTTAGTTGAGTGAAAAAAAGAAACGAAGTAAATTGAAACCAGAAAATGTGAGTCGTCTCATATTCTGCCATACCAATCGTCCATCACGTATCGACATCGGATCTCCGGTTGAATTGTAAGTCCTCTGAGCGGCTAGCACATACAACTTGAGTGCATCGAACAAATACAAATAAGCGTAGATGTTACCCTCAAAGAGATTAGCATCACTGTATAGTTCAATTGAACCGAAATGATTTGATCATTCCTTTTGCTTAGTTCTTTTCAGGTGTGAAAAAAAAACTTCTGAATTTTGAAAACAATTTGAGGAAAACTTGAACAGAGCATATGAAACGTTACAATGTCAACATCTTCCTGCTTCAATCCACTCAATTCGATCCTTTCGAGGAACGGTTGAACTACTGTGTTGTCGAAGCCATTCACATCATCAATCTGTTAGTCAGTATTTTTGCAATATCTTCGTTCAATGTGAAATAATTTGAAATTAATTATTGAGAAGCAGTTGGGAAGTTGATTGAAATCACCGATATTTCTTCGAAATTCAGCATTCACCGCAGACAGTGCAAAATGCTAGCTGCAGAGCGATACTCCCAGAAAATGGTTTCAAAATGAGAAGAGAATAATGGATAATTCAGAATATTTTCTCTTTCGTGAATGCCGTTGGTCTGTTCGCCTAGCCAGAGGGGTGGCGTCAATCAAAGCTAAACCAGTGCGAACGGAAACGCGAGCATTGTGGCCAACAACGTTACAAACGTTTGATCGCCTGGCCAATCCACGTAATCCGGGTAATTTTCTCTTTCGAGTGATCTCATGTTTGCTAGACTGTTGTTCGGCAATGTGCATCAATTTCAAGCGTTTCCCTCCTCCTACAACAGTATCCGAAGAAAAGGAATAAACAACGAACGATAATAGCGTTAGCGTATTGGTCTTTGATTTTTTGTTGCATTTCGCCATCAGGGCCAACCCATGGTGATGCATCTCGACTACCGTCTTGTAACCACGGAAGAATGAAAACGAATTCCTTGGCCTGAAGTCTTTCTGAGGAGGTTGCGCTCATGAATTCACGAGACTGTTGACGTGTCGACGAGAACACACAAATTATAACTGAAAATTTAACAATAAGTAAGCAGGTTTCCACTTCTGTTCGTGAGATGATCTCAAGTATTTGAAGATGACGTTTAAGCGGTGGAATGTGGTGAATACTGAACGCAATTTTGAAATATTTTGCGATGTGACAACTTTGCTAGTGTGTAGCTAAAGGAACGTGACAGTTCAAGAATCATACATACTTCTAGCATTGTTGCGTAGTTCGTGAATGAGTCCAGTCGACCTCATCGCTGCCGAATCGGCATTTTCGTCGAACATTATTCGCTTGACCACCGAAATACCTCTAATCGCAAACACCTCCTCGAATGATGTAACACGTTCGTATGCCACAGATCCGGTGTTTGTTACTAGAGCGACCTTTGAGAACAGTTTCGGTTTACAACCATAGTTTTTGCTTTTTTTTTCTCTCAACCGCTAATAATCAAGTGAAGTATTCTCAATAAAGGACTGTTTCCACTACATTCGCCAGACTAAATAAACAACCATTTTTGCTCACTCTCGATGAAATATCAACCATTTCTGTTTGAAGATATCATAAAACAGTTCCGGTGAATGCAACTGTGCCTTCAGAACCAGATTCATTTCAAATGGGCGACAATCTGACAGAACAAATGATGGCGAGCGATCTCATCGATAATCTCCAACACTATCAATCAAATTTTCATCAGCCACTTACTTTTAACCACTTATAATGATTCAGTAGTGCGGCTGTTGCTTCAGCGAAAGAATTCGTCGAACGCATCGATATTCTTGAGAGTGTTTTGTAGATGTTTTTGTCGGTTAGTGAATTCGACGCAGTCATATAGGCAATTATTGGAATATTCCAAAAACCTGCCATTCTTGCGACCGCATCAAATTCTGCAACATTCAGTTCAAGAATGTTGGTTATACGGTTATAACTTTGAGTTATCTGGTTATGAGGTATAAGTCAGTTAAAGACGGTTAAGTTTGAGAGCAATCATTGCAGCTGATATGTCATTGCGATGGTCACTGAAAAGTTTAATTCCTATCCTAATGATCACACCAACGTAACATTAAAAAGCAGAATGCAGCAGTACCGGCAATACAGTAGG